ATGGACTTCAAAGCGCGCCATAAGTTTTCAGTTGAATGTGTCGTTGCGCGAAGCTCGTCCTCCACATGTAGGTTAGAATCTCATCAGACATCTTTTCCTCTCTTTGACACGTCACAAGTTCATTAATTTTCGTCTCGATATCGAAAGAACAGAAGTGTATCTTTGAGTGGTATAGCAGATCGGAACAGAATGGCACGCAAGAAGAAGAAACAGCCTAGGATGCTGGCAGTCTTCGTACCCGATGACGTAATGACTTGAAAAATTATTTAATAATTTTTACGTCGCGAACTTTCATTATTATACGTGTCTTATGGGTATACAAATTCTCTGTTTCAGGTACGTATAGAAAACGATCATCAGCATAGCTTCATCCTACGTCAGCAATGCGTAAGTCGAATGGCCGCTCGAATTTGCATTCACTCAGGCGTCTACGTAGCGCGACGACTCGTAGAAGCAATGCGGTGCCACTAAGGAAATACAGAAAATGGAATTTAATGCTATCCATGAAATTCGCTACTGCTTCATTCGCCGTTCTCTCAAGTTCACTTATTTATGCTCTAGAAAGTTTTGCCAGTCGTGCGATTCACTACAGTATCATTTTGTTTGCACGTTTCGGTAAGTTGACACGGTTCCTTTGTTCGTACAGTCTTCGCAGAATTTCCTGGCGTTACCCGGCAAGCTTTTCAAGCTGCGCTTGGCATCAGACACAGTCTTAAAGCTCAGGGTAGGAAAATTATGGGAGCTTCTGGTATCTTCGGTCACGCGGATAGTTACCAATTCGGTCATCGAGTCATGCTGAGTTCCCGTGAATCAGGTCGTCTTTTGAAAGCCCTGTACCAAATTAACGACCAGCCTTCTTCACTGGGAACTTCCAATGATTGTGCGCCGTTTCATCTACGTACGCAATCTTAGGGATTGACCTGGTAAACTTGTTTATCCTGAACGAATTTAGATCAAGCTGTATATTTCACTCGGATCACTCATATAGGATTCAATTGAGAGAAGTAAGAATGAGTGAACTTGAAAGAGACAGTAGTGCAAGTTTTAGACGAGTTGCTAGGATATATTTTTTTGTACATTTCACCACGTTCAGAGTGTTCGGACGATTTTTTATGTACGTCGCGATGTTCTTTCTGGTAATAATTTCAAGGTAGGTATTTCGGAAAGTTCATTCAAGGTCGTGAAGTGATGCAAACGATCTTTGTAAAAATAACTTACATCTTATATTTTGGATCGTCTGTTAAACGAGAGCAACAGACTGTTGACTTTCGGAATGATATCCCATGTTTATATATAATTTAAATCACATCTATTTCTTGTCTAGGATAAGACGATATTTTTTTAAACGACATCAAAATCATTTTTACGTTTCCTTCTTAACTATCAGAATTTTAATTCTCTATTAATATGGCCAAGTGACATTTAAGACGATATATGAATGCAGTATCATATAAACATATATGGTTTGGTAAAGATAAGAACAAAGTACGAATATATGAGGTATTTAATCGTGATAGAGCAAAGAAAAGGAATATCCGTTTATTCATATTTCCAATGTTATCAACGGATTTCTTCTTTATCGGTAGTAATTTTTTAAGTGTGCCGATAAAACAGTTTTTTACTGTCACGTCGATGAGATATCATGCTCCTTCAAGTTTCATACGATGCAAACAGATAGCGCCACTTTAGCCAAGTATAAATGGCAGCCTTGCCAAGTCATCAAATGTCTAATTCGATACAGAGATCAGTAGGGAGATGCACAACGCTACGGTTTTAGGTGATACCAAAAACGTGGCGCTAAATCGTAGCGGCGAGTCCGGGAATAGAATATCGTGATCATCGCCTTCGTCGATAATGCATATCCCGTCGTAGCCGAGCTGAACGTGATCACGAACGGGTAGCCTGGCGGGCAGAGTCCTCCGCTACTTATCGCTGGTTCCCAAAGCAACACTTGGAACGAGACAACTCATTGGATATAGCCTAAATACTTTATTTCTTTGCAATCCTAAATTCGATCGCACAGTGTGAGCTCGGTAAGTTTAATATGACAAAAGCAAGCAACTCACGTCTGCCTGCACTGAAGCGTATGATGCCACAAGCATATTTAATACATATTTTACCGATGTTGCGTAGCAGAACGATTGTTGAAACCTATCAGGAACTGTAGAACTTTTCGAGAACTATTGAAAAAGCCTATTGTTGAATCATTTTCAAGAGATTTTAAAAAAGTGCGATGCTGGAGCTGACATCCGTGTAGCACCTCCATTTTTGTAATGTTAATATAATATGTATTATATGTATTAATATAATATGTATAAATATGTATTTTAATAGAGAGTCCACAGTGTTCTTCTCTCGTCGGTGCGCTATAAACGCGGAATTGGCAAAATCCAGAAGACTCGCGTGGACGAGGAAAAATTATTTAGTACGCAGCAGAATCTGCGGTTGATTACTCGGAAACAAGTATAGCTGGAAATATAGTCAGACACTACCGCGCAACATGGGAACACTTTCCAAATGCATCACCAAAATCTCACATAAATATAAGTCAGATCTATGCACTACTTCCGGTATCCGCTGAGTATAGCAAATTTAAGGCTTTCAGCATAACCGCTTACATAAATGTTTATGGTGAGTAAAAAAAAAGGAAGAAAGGAAGAAACTTATAACTATACTACCTACAACTTTTTTGAAAAACTCGAAAAAATGGTGTCTAGACCCTGCACCTGCTACGCACTAATATTGAATTTAAAAGGAAACTATGAAGGTACAAGCGATGGAACGCAGTGGAGATATACTAGAGACTATACTCTTCAACGATATCGCGTCAACGATATCCTGAAATGCGAACAATTGCCGTGCACCGATCAGCCTGTATCGTCATTTCCCATGCTGCGCGGTAGTGTCTGACTATATTTCCAGCTATACTTGTTTCCGAGTGATCAACCGCAGATTCTGCTGCGTACTAAATAATTTTTCCTCGTCCACGCGAGTCTTCTGGATTTTGCCAATTCCGCGTTTATAGCGCACCGACGAGAGAAGAACACTGTGGACTCTCTATTAAAATACATATTTATACATATTATATTAATACATATAATACATATTATATTAACATTACAAAAATGGAGGTGCTACACGGATGTCAGCTCCAGCACCGCACTTTTATAAAATCTCTTGAAAATGATTCAACAATAGGCTTTTTCAATAGTTCTCGAGAAGTTCTACAGTTCCTGATAGGTTTCAACAATCGTTCTGCTACGCAACATCGGTAAAATATTTATTAAATATGCTTGTGGCATCATACGCTTCAGTGCAGGCAGACGTGAGTTGCTTGCTTTTGTCATATTAAACTTACCGAGCTTACACTGTGCGATCGAATTTAGGATTGCAAAGAAAAAAAGTATTTAGGCTATATCCGATGAGTTGTCTCGTTCCAAGTGTTGCTTTGGGAACCAGCGATACGTAGCGGAGGACTCTGCCCGCCAGGCTACCCGTTCGTGATCACGTTCAGCTCGGCTACGACGGGATATGCATTATCGACGGAGGCGATGATCACGATATTCTATTCCCGGACTCGCCGCTACGATTTAGCGCCACGTTTTTGGTATCACCTAAAACCGTAGCGTTGTGCATCTCCCTACTGATCTCTGTTGGATACGTAATCTTTGATCCTCTTGTAATATGTCGCTCTATTTTTGTCGCGGTGAAAAACCGTACTATCAGAGATAATTTCGTACCGCGGAATAGCATTGTAAATAATAAAAGCCGTTATAAAGATAGCAGACAGACGCCCATCGTGATTTACTGCATTATCTCTTCGAGAATAATAGCGGAGGGAAAATTGTTCAATAAGAAACAGCATTATACTAGTAGATACATCATCATCCTCAGCAGTATCTTTTAAGAATCAAGCATACGTACTTCTTGGTTATACTCAAGAATTGGATTTGACTCATTTAATAATAGACAATGTAAGTACTCCTTGTTACGACACAGTTTATAAAGCAAATTATACTAATGTTCGAAGATATGGATAAAAATCACAGTCCCATAGTTTCCTATGTTACGTAGAAGCATTTGTAAAGACCTATGGTTACGTCGGATGTGCTTATGTATAAAGATACTGATTTGTGCAGAAAGTTTTTTTTTTCACGAATTCCCTACGTGCTTAGCGGAATGTCTGATTATTCCGTCAATAAGCGTACGTCTAATTACAAGCTTGACATATGTATGTTAGATCCGGAGGCAACGCACAGCCATAACGCACGTAAATAATATCCGCCTGGGATTTTCCTATTAGTAAATCACAGATGCCCCTCGTACCTTTAATAACTAGGCGTCTACGTAAATAATTACCGAAGTTCCGGGAAAATCGATATCGATTATATAATAGATTTATGTGAAACGCAAAAACGTCCGTGTTTGCTGCTTATCGTGCCATCTCGTTGTCTGCTCGTCGAGTTTTAAATTTTACAATCGAATTCTTCCTTATCATTTAATTCGATGCAGTATAAGTACATGTGTAGCGTGACGCAATATTTATTATACAATGTTTACTTACAACCGTACAAGGATCTACCTTAAGTGTCATGTTCCATTAGGCCGACAATTAACACAGCCGTATTATACGTCACTGTGGGGTATCGTTAAGGAAACACGAATAAATAAAAAACTGAACGGTGACGACTATGATAAAATAATTTTGAGGTATCGCATTCTTTTTTTCCTAATAAAATTAAAAAAAAAAAACTATTTTCGAAGGACAACAATACCCATTACCGTGTTTCAAAAGAAACGTATCAATATGATAATCGCGGTAAAACATGCGATAATTATTTTTTATAAACAAATCATAGATTTATTCTCCATAAAAGCATATTATCCATGTTGGTGATTAATCGTCAATAATTATAATAAATGTAGAAAAAAAATATTATCTCAAGTTCGATACGTTATCATATTTTAATATCTAAATGTAATATCTCAATTTTACCTACTACATTGGTAATCCGGTTATCATCAGGACGCGTATCTGACATCTGGCTGTCAAACACAATCCGTATATATTGCATTAGCAATTATTCATTGTAATTGGCAGTCTCCAATTCATTCCAATCCGCACTGCATAATAGATCGTCGAATTAAATAATTAATGCAAATTTTTCATCCCTGAAAAGTCACGGCGAAATCTTACAACAATTACGCTGCGTTAGACTGTACAAAGCAAACTCACCGTTCTTGTTATCGTCAAGTCAGCCAGCACGACTCTAGTCAGTTATCGCTATTGGCGGCAGAGAAGTGACAGTGTCTGATCTGTCTGTGACTTGTGAGTGGACGTGAAGGAAGCCACGCTTCCTTGAGAGCCAATAAAGTCGTCCAAGCATATATTTATTCAAAATTTCTCATAAGCGTACTAGTCTAACGTTACCGTCGGTAATCGTATGCAGGAGAGTCATTGAGGTCGTACATAATACGAGTGAGGTCAAAGTGGATAGCGGATACAGTGTAGTCTATAGAAAACTGTAATAACTCCTTACTTGGATATATATAATTTTCCCAAAACAAAAAATCATCACGGTAAGTCATTGTAACTTTGATATCATTTAAATATGAAAAATTGTCATTTTCACTTATAACTTTTATTCGCCCACGTCAAAACGATTTCCGCTGTTCGCGGAAACCTTCGCCTTCTTTAAAACCGGTTGTACCTTAAGCCACGGCCATCTTTAAACACTGAATGTAATATATCTTTAGGTCATCACGTTACACGTGCGCATTACGCAATCGAATTAACATCACGCGTGTCCCTCAAGTATCTTTTCTTAGAAATTGGCGATTATGAGCCCACTCTATTAAAATCGTGTACTGATTTCTAGGCGCGACCAACAAATATTTGATATTTAAAACACTAGACCTACTATAGAGCGGTCATTTGTCCGTTTTAAAGCGAAAACTATGTTTATAAAAAATTGTCGGTAGGTTTAATGTTAAACAACTGGATCTTTGTGAAAGGTGCACGTTATAGTTATACAAATTCACAGCAGAGACGCTCTTTATATTTATTAGGTAGTCTGTATACAATAATAAACAAGTGAGAAGGTGGATTCTCATATTTTTGTTGTATGACTTCGTAAAATCGTTTTGTGCGTTTTTTTTTTTATGGACTTCGAAGTCATACAGTAGCCAAATTCTGTCTCTAGGACTTGTTCAGTTTTTACTAAGACCGTCAATTACCGATTTGATCGTTTTTTAAACTCCTGTATGTCGTATTACTGTATGAACTTACACCTTTACGCTGTCGGTATTGCAGTTTACGATTTATCGACCTGGCTGAACGTACGAATGTTAACTGACAGTACTGTACGTAAGTAGCACGTATTTATCGATAATTACACAGTTGATGAGTTTTACTGTACGTAAATAGTACAATTATCTTTCCTGTTTATCTTAAGATAAACAGGAACAAAATATCGCTTAGATCTGTGTGATAAGTCTCTGAAATTCTTGGCTTTATTGCGAGACACGTTAATATATCCCGTGAAAGTAGCGATCTTTACGGAGTGAAAAATAAGAATAAAAGTGCATTACGTTAAGATTGTTTTTGTTGCTTGTCAGAATGATTTTTAAAAATTAATTTCTCTTTTTGGTCAATTATACAAATATTTAAGAGAACGTACTTAGTACGGTTAATGATTTATTTGGAACTTATTTTCGGGTCATTCGTTAAACATCTAATTTAATGTCTGACGGCTGCCTCAAGCTATGCGGTAGTCTTCTTTTTTTTTTAATTCGAATGGACCTGTTGATGAATTCATAAGGCATTTTGGGACTTTTTGAAAAGTTCGAGAACTAAATTTTGCCTAAATTTTGCGAGTTCCGCTCGAGGCACTCGGGGGACTACTACCGTACCACGCGCGCCGAGCAATTGTCCCTCTCTCTCTCGTGCCATATTAAGAAATATGAATTTCCTTCCCGAACTACTAGTTCTCGAACTTTTCAAAAAGTCCCAAAATGCACCTTTCCACCCAACCCCTGCCATTCGGCCATTTTGTATTCGATCGGGATAAACCCTTTACCATTCGAACGGGAAGGAAATTTCCTAAAAGATATGTCTTTGGTTTTTCGAAATCTGTCATAATTTCACAGAAATATACAAAAATTCAAGTGTTGCACTTCAGTTGGACGTTACTGTATACGGGTAATGAATAGTTGATCATTCAGACTGTTGCTGAAAATGATCTGTATACGTACAGTGGGTATACGATACATACAATTGATATTAAATAATGTATTTTCTCATTGTTTATTAAAATATTTAAGAGTTTAGTCGCAAGCGGAATATTTGTCAATTTAAAGTGCCTTTACTAATCAGTAACTCTACGGCACTGTCTATTTAGTCATAACGTGTTTTCAAGATAGCTTTGGTCATTTCGACATAATTCCTATGGCTATTTCAAGCTTATGATTTCTAATAGAAATCATATCGATCACGATGTCGTTGCGAGTCGTCTTTATCTTTATAATAACGCTGAATTGAATTTAGTCGCATGACATTTATTTGCAAATAATGTGAAATTAAGAAACCACTTTTATAATTTTCGACGTATTTTCCTGAACGTGTATTTTTCGCTGATGCTAGCCCGCATTCCATCGACCAGTCCGACTTAGCGACAACAAGCAAGAACGTGATCTTTCCGGTCTTCAAAAGTCGTAACCTTACTATATTTTCACTTTTCTGGAGATAAAAATATATCTACACACACATATATACATATAGTCTATCGACGTGTCAGATGAGTTTTTCAGGGGTCACCTTCTTATGACATTCAATATAAAAGAGTCCCCTTGACTTCACGCTTTACCGATGAATCGACTTGGGCATGCTATAGTATGGTTAACCAAAGTTTACTCCGAGCAATCAAATGGCTGTTGGCAATTGCAGTTTAAAATAATGGACAGTGTTTCAGCGGAGACTGTACCAAAGGTTAGGATTGATTTAAGAAATGTTTCGAGTAATAGCTGTAATTCGTATAATGGTAATGACGCTCGGTCGAGTCTCTTGATTAAATGCATTGAATGATAGGCAGATATATTTATACTGATCAAGATAGAATTGAAGCAAATACGTCGGTTATGGTATATCGCATTGCGACGATAAGTAGAGATTGGTGTCATAACTACCATACAACATTTCGACACGATACTTTTTAAAAAATTATGTCTAAAATCTTATTCCCACGAAATAAGCATAACGTCTGACATGATAATCATTTTCATGTTAATAAAGTTATTTTTGGTCGTATTACATAAATAGAAATTCTGGGTGGTCTTGGTTCCTCATTCTACGCACGATCATCGATTACTCATTCAAATATTATGTCGACTGATTCGTAGTTAACGTAAAGTCCAGTGGCGCCACTGTCGTCTTTCCATCCTTTCCCTTTGACCCCTGCCCTCCCAAGGGCCTTGTGCAATACATTTTTATAATTCGATCTCTACTGCTTTCAAAGCAGGAAATCGCCTTTTTTTTATATATTAAATCGTGAACTCGTGATAAAACACTGGACACTTGATATTTTAAAAGGGAATTAAAGCGTTATCTTGATATATTATTTTTCGCTTTTTCACGCTAGCCTTGACGCATCGGGAAAAGTATTGTCCATATCGTAATGTATACTTTTGTAATGTATAGATTTTCATGTGCTTGAAATGGGTATGTTTGTCAAGCGAAATTATAATGGCTCTCACTATTGACAGATAATGTCTCGAGACTTATCTCGTAAAAGCGACCAATTTACTTGCTTTCGAGTCTTGGCCCTGTATTATCAATTGTGTTACATACCATTTTACCCGGCGCCCAAATTCACTGATAAGAGTTTATTCATGGAAAGAAAACATATTTCTTGAAACGTATATTAAATAGTGCGAATTTAACATGAGCAAATATTAATTTATCACAAGACGAAACCTCACGTGGGTGTCATATTTGTTATAACCATTTATTTATTCGTTAATACGCAAATATTCGATTTGTTTACTGCATACAAATCATGTTAATTCTAAATAAACTCTTTACTCAGTGTACTTTTATCAAAATCATGTGCAACATCATTGGAACACGTGGCCCTATCTCGAGTAGTTTTTTAATCCTTGATAGCAATGATTATTTTAAAGTAATCATAGACTTTTGATAAATAAAATTCTTTTATCTATTTCCCATCTGCGTATGAGAACTCTTACGCACTCACGAACGCATGAATTTATTACGCCTACTACTCCTTGTTGATATTATAAAGACAGGTTAGAATTTTAGACAAAAAATGTTATTTCCATACGTTCTATCTACATAATTAATGCGACTTACTATACCAGATGATCATTTTACGTTAGTTAAATATATTACACAAATATTACATTAGCTAAATACATTACTTGAATATATCTTGCATATGTACAGACGATCGTTGTAGATAAAATAGAAATGTAAAATGGTCTGAACGTAACTTTTATTTTGTTACGTAACTCGCTATGGTGATTGATATAGATGGCATTACTAGTTATTAGTTTAGCGCAGATACACGTACGTATGTATATTGTACAGTAGCAATGGTGCGTGTCGATTAAAGACACGCGATCGTTTAATTATGGTCTCAGCACATATCTCAGACGTAGAAATCTCAAACAAACGTTACTGTCTTAGCGATTGACAAAGTAAGTCGAGCTACAACGATAAATTTATCAGTGTTACAGATGAGATAAGATTGGATAATCATCTAATTGAAAGTATGTTATCTGAAGCTTTGGCATTGAACATCATTTATTTCATTCCGGGATTGTATTAAGATACGTCTGATTTAATACGATCGAAGATTTATCGTACGTTTGTTTTTTTCAACAGAGTACGTTAAACTTGAAAATTAAGATAGCTATACGGCTTCGCACTAGTCAAATCAGTGCTAAATTTTTAATAACGTTTTTACAATTTCTGGTGGTCCAATTAACAGTTCCGAGGAGTTACTCGCGCAACAGCATCAGTTCTTAATATATAAATACATTCACAGCCATGATTCAAACAGAAAGCCGACTGATATGTGTAAATGTCCGATGTTATGTTTTTTCGTGCAGTTTTTTTTTTAAGAATAAACCATAATAACAGTCCAATTATGCCGAGCAATATATCATTTTGATTATTGGAAGATTCTTAATCGATTGGCGATCTAGACTTTAGATAATATTAGTAGCTCAAAAGATACATCCGTTTGATTACATATCCTAACCTGATGTCAGGCATACAAGTGGCTGTAACTTTTGAACAACTAATATTTTACAAAATCTCGATGGTC